GCGCGCTCGGGCGACCGCCGCCAATTTTCAAACTACAAGCCAACGGGGTTTGCTTTCCGCTTCGGATACGGTGGCGATACCGTTAACGTGCAACGCCGTACAGGAACTGAATGGGAATGTGCGGATGTATGGGCCAAACTGTTGCGACACGAGCCCAAGAGCCGAGAAGCAGCCGAAGGCCCGAGACGGATGCGGCTTCCAGCTAAAGTGGAGGCGCTTCCAGCCAGCAGGAGGGAGGTGGCCAGTGCGCCGTGTCTTATCAGCCAGACCAGCTGCTCAACTGCTCAGCTGCTCAGCTGATGCCCTTGCACTGGGTAATATGTGCTGCAACAATACGTAGAATTGTCCATGACTTTGGCGTGAGTCGCCATAGGAATACATTGCTCAACATTGGCTTGCATATTGGCGGAACACTTTTCACGTTGAGGAGAATATACACAAAAATACAATTCACATACCCAATGAATCCACAATATCAACTAAAATATGAGCATCGTCATAATGGTCATTCGATTTGCCCACATTCTTTCGAATGTGACACATTTTTGATGTCTGAGTTGTCCGTCCCGATTTAAACCAATGCTTAGGATCTACGCTGACATAGCAGCAGAGATAATTGCTGATATTGATGTTGTTTTATATATTCCAGTATGAAATAGGAGGAGCCTCGTCCAACCAATTCTGCTACTCTTTTCTACTGCTATTAGTAGTAGTCATCACTGCGCATGCGTCAAGTCCCCCAGTCCATGGGCAACTGGCAACCCCAACTGGAAAGCGGGAAAGCGAACTGTTGCTCCTGTTGCTCTTGTGGTCTGGTGGTAGCCTCGACCGACCGATGTTGCACATTGCTTTGTCCTGGCACTGGGGCAGGCAGTGCCAGCGAGCAAAGCACTTTGCATGCACTTTTTGCACGTTCTCGTGTGCATCTTACATATGAAAACACTTTCGATGGACTCTTGGGCCACCTAGGCACGCCTGTCCAAAGGTCGCGGCCATCAGAAGCAATTTCTCGTGCCTCTGCGGCCGTCGATGCTGAGTCTGCACTCTCGGCGTTGTCAACATTGAAGGGCCCCGAAAATGGTCTTCGTTGAGTGGTTTTTATGCAGCGAAGCCCACTGCCACATCGTCCTCTGATGTTGGCTTTGGGTTGAGTACCTTACGGTGGGGTTGACTTGAAGTGAACTGAACTGCAATGGCCGGCAGTCTGATGTTGATGGCCAAATTAAAGTTGTGTGTTTATGTTTCGGTTCATCGATTGGTCGGCTTTGCACTTCTCCCCCACGTCGCTCATCTCGCCACCTAATGCACGCTTTATCGGAGACAGGAAACGAAAATCCTGCCATGCATAAACCACTCGAATGAATCGATGCATTTCCGCTGTGCAATCAAATTATCGGAAAAATCGGAATTTCAGAAAAGCTTAAATTCGGACACGTGCCCATTCGGCATGGAAGTGGAGAAGAACTGTGTCCACTTACATTTAATTTAATTTTGGAAACATATACAAATTGTTCTGCGATGTGGCGAATGTGCGTGAACGACTGTGAACCTTGGCCAATAAATAAAAGCATCCTCAAACCCGAAAGCCCTGCTGTGCAGCCTGGATCGACACATGTAGCACTTGTATTCCGCTCAGACAAGTTCTAACTAATGAAGTGCTATGTACATATTTACATTTTGAACGGGCTGTCCTGATTAATTAATTGGAAAACTCTCGAAACATGAAATACGAGCATGTGCTTATAATTTTTTAATGGCCATCGAAATCCGAGCTCATTCACAAAGATAAAGTTACAGGTTTATGTCTCTAGGTTCCGGGTTGCAGCCACCTTTTAGTGGCTGTCAACCCATTTTTTTGTGGGTTAAAAGAGAAGACTTTAACTTTTAAAAGCTTTTCAAATCATAAGTAAAGGATCCTAGACTCATAAATATACGCACTCAAACCTTCTCTGTGAGTGGTTGAATATGAGACTGTCTGTCTGTCTTTCTGTCTTTAGCTACCTCAAATAAGAACTGTCTTTGGTCAGCCAAAGCGCTTCTAGCCTCTCAAATCAAACCCTTTTCAGTGCAAAGCGAGACCTAATTTGAATAATTTATTTTTGGCCAACACGGCCAGTGGCAGCATTAATTAAAATGAATTCAGCGGCCACATGCGCCACCACAGGGGGGACAGACAGACGGATCATAGGACAACCTGTTAATCGGGTGATGCAGCTGCGACTGCGATGGCAGCCATAGTTCCGGCAACCAATTTCTCGTTGGGCTGATTAGCATTAGCCCAGACTCCGGCGATGGACATTTGAGTGGTTGTGCCCGAACCAGAGCCAGCGACTGGCAATAGTGTGGCCTGCCCTTTTTGTAGAGGGGGCGTGGTAGAGTGGAGACAATGCTTTAATCCACCGCAAATGCAATGAGCGGTGCAGCTGCTGTTAATTAACGTTTGTGTGACAGTCAGTGGACAGGCAGTGGACGCAACGGGCATGATGGGATGTCGCACGTTGTCAGATTATGTGGTATGCTCGGTGCCTGTGCTGCGGCCGATGTGGCTCGTGTGGCGAGAAAAAAGTCAAAATATTAAAAAGAACACACACAACATTTGCCTGATTTGTCGCACAAGTATATGGATTTATACAAAATCAAAGGAGAGCCCACCAATTAGAGCATAGATATCCTTATAACTGGAGCAGTGTAAATTCAATCGTTTTTTGTGTGAATTTTATATGAAAGGGGAACAAAATATTAATATATATATTTGAATATGTATACTGACCCACAATAGAATTACATTTTGATATGGGTCCGGTCTAGTTATTTGACAGTCACACGAGGACACTCCCAAAAGCTGCCCTCGCAAAATGAAAAAAGGTGCGACTCTTGTCCCAAATGCAAATGCATGCAAAGAAGAGTAGTGTGAGGATTCTTAGCCAGCTTCAAACCGTATCTGTTGACAGCATCCCACTTACTTAATACCTACCTCCATGCTGAACACTTTTAAAATATGCATGAGCACCTTTTTGGGCGTTTTTGGGAGATTGTGTGTGGCGCATACTTGATGGCATAAACCTCATATCCACGCAACAGAATATCAAGCAAAGGGAGAATTAATGGGCGAGACTGGTTAGAGAGTTAGAGTGCAGACCCCAAATAAATTTATTGCATCCCCTGCTCAAAGGACACCCGAATGGAATTAAGACTTTTGAATTATGGGAACATACTAAAATGTCAAGTACTTTGATGTTCGCTTAATGTTGCACTGTCAGTGTCATATTCACTGTCGGTCATCAATCATACTGTGTGGGGCGGTCCCTCCATAACGAAACTTGAAGTAGTCCATAAAACCTATGCCCATAGCTTAAATAGAAGACTTTAAAATATAGAAAGAACATTTTAAAAATGCTTCCATATGTTAACATTTCGGATTCCATTCCCAAATTCCCTACACCTATTGCTGACATTTAGTAGACTCATTTCTATAGAATATACTCGTAGTATTACGAGCGCTGGCTATTATCAGACGAAAAGTTGTGACTTAATATATCGCTCCTCTCCTTTTTAACAGAAAAATACATTTTATTCTTGTCGGAGACAGATATTTACAACAAAAAGAAAACAATCAAAGGAGAAAATACTTGGAAACGCAACCAACCAGCCCTATCCACACTCCTTTCCTACCAGAACTCCAGCCCTGCCACCACAATCACTTCCCCCGCCTCTTGGGAGAACGTGTTCCGCTGATTGGCATGCACGAGCTGCATCGAGCTGCAGCGTCCAGCTGGTGATTCCAGCCCGCCTACGCAGCTTCACAGAACTGAGGACACCGATAGCATCGGGGAAAACCGTCGCGTGCTGCCAGGTGTGTGGGACGATCAAAGGCTTGACGCTTTTGTAATGAATGTCGGATGGTGTTTTGTGAATCTTGAATGCTGTTCCAGCGACAGCGTAGGGACATAGGTCCTGGGTGCTGGGCTTCGTGCCAATACTCTGGCACACCTGCCGCTTTCAAGTTTGGAAAATGTCTGTTGATTTAATTTTCTTCTTCGAATTTATGTTTGTGTTGCTCCTGCTTAGGCAGCACGTGTGTGGGTGTGCGTATGTTTTTGTGTACTTTCAAAAAAGTGCTACACAAAGAAAACGTGCAAAATGCCTCAAAAGATGCATGTGGAGTCGCTCCAGATGGAAGGGGAGCTCCAGCTTCATCATTCTGTTCTCTCACTGCTTGTTTTTGCTGTTGTTGTTCCGCTTTCGTTCCGCTTGTTTGCCATTTCGCTTTTGAAGTCCCCAGTGACACCCAGGCACCCACGCAGGACCATACAAAACATACACATACCCACCCACCCAAACGTTCACATACCCATACAGCAACAGCAGCGGGAAACTTGCCAAATGGAGAGAAAATGGAAATTAAATGAACTTGAAATTCTGAGCAGCTCTGACGCAGGAGCAGTGCCACCGCAGCATGCATACAAACATACATACATACATATATTTTCGCACTCTGACCACCTGAATCGTTTTAAGGTGTTTAAAGTTTCTCTACTGTTCCTCCTAGTGGGCCAGTCCTGTAAACCAAACACAACAAAAATAAAAGCACACAGATTTAGACAGAAATCTTATTAACCAGCTGCCGTGATAAGCGTAAGCCAGTAGGAGATTTATGGTAGGAGCCTACGTAACTTGTAACAACTATTTTATTTGCTGTCATTTAAAGTTGACCCTTAAACACAGGGTACTGGCAAAGACATGCAATCATGCATTCGAATTTCAGCACTGAAGCAAGAATCGCAAGAACGACGAAAAGCCAAGAAAGCAACCCCTCACACATGAGAGCGTACAAATCTAAAAACAGAAGGCGCTTGCATGCGTGAGTACGCACAAGCCAAGCAGACAATGCTCGAGATGAAAACTTACATTTTTTTGGTACTGGTCAAGTACCTTGACGAATATTCATAGTGCATTTGGACAGAGTCACCCGTATTTGCTTCAGACATTCACAGCACAGATGCATGATAACATTATTACAAGGTATATTTCGAACTATACAACAACACAGTCGCGTTATAAACTTTATACATTACAAAATATATATTTCCATGAAAAGTAACATGTGAAGGTCTAATGGCGGATAACCATCAGCACACTCACTTCGTTTAATAAATTTGAAAAACCAAAACGGGTGTCTGAAAAGAGAAAGAAGTAGGATTATAAGACACTGCCAGTCAATTGCCGTTTGATAAATGTCATACCTTTCTCGATCTCAACCATGTCACCGATATTTAATATGCGGTGATCATCTTCCGCCACATCCGGGACAGTGCAATCCAATGCAAATTTTCCAAAGAGAACAACAAATTTCTAAACCAATAATAAAGGAGATAATTGTTATAGACTATTTAGGAACAGAGACCAACGAATTCTTAGTTGAATGCATACCAGGGAAACGCTCCTAGCACGTTTCTTTCTTCGACTCTGCAGCGGCTGGAAGCGCATATACCCCAGTGTCGCCCTTTCCTTGGTTTCGTAGAAAGCGTACTCAATGTCATCCAAGTTGGTGAATAGTAATTCACTAGCAACTGCTGCAAATACAACATAAATCCAAGATAAATTCCGTGATTAAAAACAAATCTCTTCTGCAGTAATTGATTCGGTGATACACTCGTACTTACAGACTGTATTTCCTACCCCGCTTCCGCTGCTGTCTTCCATATTGGAGCTTGGCTGGATGTTACTGTGGCCTCGCAGCCAGCTCATAAGTTGCATGTAAGAAGCCTGGTGCTCATCTGAGACACTGGGACTTGGTGATGGAGCATTTATTGGTGTTATTGGATCGGGATCGGGATCGGGATCGGATTCGGGTTGCGGCTCACTTTCAGTTTCTGTTTCCATGACGGGAGTTAGAGGCATTGAGGCAGCCGTTGCTGACTCTTGCCTTTTTTTTTTGGTTCGTCCACTTTTCTTGGTTTGTTTTCGGGCATCGCTGCTTTCCACTTGCTCTATTCGCTCGTTATCGTCCCACCTCAGAGGGGCGAGTCCCAGAGAACTACAATCAGACGGCTCTGAAGGCTCAAACGTTTCTGCAACGGCATTTAGGGGCTCCTCTGAAATTCTCGGGGTGCTACTGCACAGCGGGGGCCTTTTCAACAAAGACATTTTGGACAGTTTCGACATACTGGACTGCTTCGACGATGGTTTGGTCTTTTTCCTATCATATGTCTCCACCGATTTGCGAACGAAGTCAAACTCCATGGGATCCATGGTATGGCACCAAGTGTTTTTCAGTGGTACCTGACCACGCTTTGACCGCCGATTGCCTGCGAAACACCGAAGAAAATAAATGAGAATATTTGAATAGTGCATTATCTTTCGACACTACTTACCAGTCTCATTGGAGTCCACTTCCACATCGTCATGCATCAAAGAGACCTTTAAATTTTCCAGCTCCCTGTTTGCCTTTGAGTTTGCCTTTGATTTTGCCTTTGATTTTGTACGCGGTGCCCTCGCCGTGGGTTTCTTAAACACCACCGCTTCCTCCTCCACAACTGGTCTGGCATCAGCCTCGGGCTCAGCCTCGGCCTCAGGTTCAGGCTCAGGATCAGGATCAGGATCAGGATCATTGGCTCTACGTGCCAGTGCGTCCAGTGCGGCCCGACTCGTGCTGGGCTGATCATCTGTTATGGAAGTGGTGCCTGGCACTGAAGAAGAAACGATGGCCAGGTCTTCCCTGTGCATGTCCGTTGTCGTCTTTTTCTCTGGGGAGGGTGGATTAACTTTATGATGTCTGCTCTGTCTACTCCGTCTATTCTTGTTGACTTTCTGCACTGCCTGGTCATCCGACCTTTCCACTGGAGGAAGTGGCGATTTGGAGAGCCGATGTTGGGCTTGCCCCGAAGAAGAGCAATCTGCCCCATCCACTTCATTATCATTATTGTCATTAAACTCTGGTGGAGGGGAAGCAATTGCGTTTAAATTATTACTCTGCCCCTTCGAATGGCAGAGGGGAGTGTCTTCATCATTCGAATCCTGCGGGGTTGCCCTCAGCCTATTTAAATCCCGCACACATTGCGAATATCGTAGTGAACGAGGTGGCGGTGGTACAATGCAAATGTCCGCCTCAACGACGGCATGGCTTTCCTTGCTCCTGGCACGACCAAGAGTAGATCCCAGGCGGGTTTGACTCAGCCTTGACTGCTTCTTCGGCAACACCGAGTCGTCATCTTCTTGGAACGAGTCACCCTTGGTGTAAAGGCTGCGTTTGGACGAGTTACTCGGTTGATTTCGACGTTGATCCATGGTTTTTGAGAGCTCCATGTAGTTGACCAGCTCTGTGGTCTAAAATTAAAAAAGAAAATACATTTTTTGTACCGTGTTGGATTCGATTACCCACCATTGGAGCCTCTCGACGTCTGGAACGTATGCGAACGTTCTGCACCTCTTTTGAATTGTCTTTAAAGGCGACTGGTGCTGGCGGAGGCATAGTCATCACCTCCTCCCTACCATCCCTTTCTTCGCGCTCTGCAGATACAGATCTGGACGACTCGGTTTCTGTTTCTGTTTCTGTTTCCGTTTCAACTTCCAGATTCCTTTGCAGTAGCTCCCAGTGAATTTGCTGCTCCAGAGCCTTTTGCTGCTCTGCACTATGCTTTCTTTTCCCATTCAGCGGGTAAACCATGCCGAGGGAGTTTCTCTTACGCAAATCAAGAATCTCATGATTGCTCATACGTTCCAGCTCCTTGGCAAACGCCTCACCATTGATTGCGGTACAGGGCGCCTTATTCAAGATGGGAGCATTGGCGCCCTTGGGCTTCCTCTTGCTTGATGCATTGGAGCGGTGGAGGTTAAGCAATTTAATGGAACTTTCCTGGTCATCCGAGGGCTTTCGACTGTTTCGCGTGCGCCTTCGACTCCGCCTGCTAGTGTTACCACCGGCCGGCGCCAGGTTCAATGCACACCCGCTTGGCTGTTCATCGCATTCATCGTCGGTCATGATTGCGTCCAAGTCATCAACAACCTGAGGTGTTTTGTTATGGGAAAGTGGCTTCGACTTTGATGATTTGGAAGTAGTACCAGCAGATACTGCTGGCGCACACGATTTCGGAGTACCAGCAGATACTGTTGGAGATGCTGCTGCTTCCTCTTCTGCTGCTGCTTCTGTTGCTGATGCAGCCGGCGATTGTGGTTGTGGCAAAGGCTCTGCCGCATCTGGCTTGGGACCAAAGGCCCCACCCATTGGTATAACTAGCACGCTGTTACTCCTAGATAGATTTTGCACAATTTCGGCTAGCTGCTGGATCTGCTGGGGCTGTGTTTCCGGTACAAAACAATCCTCCACCGGTGCCGATTCCCGTTCAGATTGGTGCAGACAGTTCGGGGTATCTGGTGGCATACTATTCTCAAGTCGTCTCAAACGCACCAATGGCGATTTAGAGTGTGAAGTATTTGGCGACGATCGCGATTGCTGCAGTTTCTCAGTCATTGGTCTCTTCTCGATCGTGTAAGTACGATGCCTCTCAGAGGGAGTCAATGGACGTGATCCTGGCAGTGAGGATCGTACTTCTGCCTTTTGGCTCATCTGCAGCATACTATTTTCAAACATAGCCAGCCGTTGCCCACATATTTCAGCAATCTCAGCTGCAAAGTCTGAACCCAGACCATTTATTGGTCCATTCATCGGCTGTGGCTCCGACACTGGCTGTGGCCGTGGCTGTGACGCTGGTTGATTCTCAGGAAGTTTGTCAGAACAATTTGGAGTGCTGCTTATTTCTGGCACCTACAAGTATAATTGCATACACTAATTGGTACATCTTGTTGGCATTGGATTTGATTCTGTTGTGACTTACAAAGGGAAATGGGCTCGAGGAGCTCCGAGTTAGATTAGCTGCATCATTAAAGTCCTGCAAGAGTTGGCGACGCCCGCAGCTCCGCGAGCGCCGCTGTATAGCATGGCGTCGCAGCTTATCAGAGCCAGGAACATGGCCGCTAGTGCCACTACGTCTGGGAGGACGCCAATGGGCGGGTGAAGGCGAATGTCTGGCTGACAGAGGCGGAACATTCTCATGCGATGGCAAGTTGGGAGGCGACTGTGGCACGTCTGAGGCGGGGTGCTCTGACGCTGCTGCACCCAACCCTTGCAAAGGTTTCAATTGGTTCTCCTGTGTACCTTTTTGAGGCTTCTTCCTGAGCGGAACATCAAAGTCCAGGTCATAGGAGAAGTTCGCAAAGACGAGGTTGGGCCTGGGCTTTTGGGCTTCCGCTGCCTTGCGCTGCAAGAATGCGGCAAGTTTATGCGAGTTTGTTGTGGATTCACTTAAGATGTCGTCCAACTCAAGCTCGGTTTCATCTTTCTTGTTCTTCGACCTAGAGCACAGCCAATAGCCAATGAGAAAAACGAATTGTTATTGTGGAATGCTCAGCTATCCTTAGTCACAACATACATTTTACCACGCCTCACTTTTCATTTATGTTTGAAAATTTCGCACTGCGACTATCCAATACGACGATAGTGACGCCGTCAGACGCCATACGATGATAGTGACAGAAAAATTATCGATAAGAGATACTGTCAGGGCCTCGAAAATATACCTTTTTATTTTCAAAATTATCAATGATATCGATATAAATTTCAATTTTACACTTGATTTTTTTTTGTATTATAATGAATTTTGATAATATTAACGTCCCGCAAAAACTGATACCCGAAAACTATTGGCGGCTGGGACTGGCGGCGCAGCGCCCCAAGAAGCGTGGATTTAAAGAACTCCTGGAAAAGGTAGCAAGGCCATTTAAAAATTAAATGTAAATATTATTACAATCACGAGAGTTTATGACAGCGAAAATTGCCAGTAAATGGGTGGCCTGATGAGCATATTGAGGAGCTGGTGCATCAAATAGCGTCATTGGATAGCAACAACTTTCCACACAAAGTGGGATTGGGCGAGCGGGAGGCGCGCATCGCCTGTCGACTTGTGTCCCGACGCCACTACAACTTTGGACATGGCATAGGACGCTCTGGAGATCTGCTGGAGGCTCAGCCCAAGGCAGCTGGCTCTACCCTGATCGCACACCTCACGAATGCACTGATCTTGGACCTAATAAAGGGGCTAGGCCTGCCCAGCTGCCGAGGTTGTTTCCTGGTACCCATGTGCACCGGCATGACCATCACACTGTGCCTGCAGAGTCTGCGCAAGCAGCGTCCACTCGCCAAGTATGTCCTATGGTCACGCATCGACCAAAAGTCGTGCTTTAAAGCTATTACGGCCGCAGGTCTGGAGCCCGTGATAGTCCCCTGTCTGGTCCAGCATCAAGCTCTAAGCACCGACGTGAATGCCTTCGAACAGCAGGTTGAGGCTCTGGGGGCAGAAACCATCCTATGTTTGTACACGACAACCAGCTGTTTTGCCCCACGAAATAGCGACAACATCGTTGACATTGCCCAGCTGGCCAAGCGCTTCGATCTGCCCCATCTCGTGAATAATGCGTATGGGCTGCAGATCGGCGAGATTTCCAGACAGTTGGAGCGGGCGCAGCGCTTGGGACGCGTTGACTACTTTGTGCAGAGCAGCGACAAGAATTTGCTGGTACCCGTGGGTGGAGCCATTGTGGCCAGCTTCGACCAGAGTCTCTTAAGCCTGGTGGGCAGTAGTTATGCGGGTAGAGCGAGTGGCTCCCAAACGTTGGATGTATTCATGACGCTGCTGTCACTGGGTCGTAGCGGCTACCACTCAATGCTCGAGAAACGAGTGGATAACTTTAATTATCTGAAGGAACAGCTCATGGAATTTGCACAAAGCAATGGCGAACTGGTTATCGAGAGCAGGGACAATTTCATATCGTTGGCCATTACGTTGGGAACTCTCTGGGCCGCCACGGGTCAAGGGTCAAGTATTACGCAACTGGGAGCCATGCTGCATATGCGCGGAGTCTCTGGGGTACGCGTAGTGGTCCCCGGTCAGAGCAAAGTCATTGATGGCCATACATTCCCAGGTCAGTTTAAATATATTTACCATTAACATGGCATTCATATTACTTCTATTCAGATTTTGGGTCCCATCAGATGAAGCTGGAGCTGCCCTACCTCACTGTGGCGGCTGCCATTGGCATCAGTCGAGAGGAGATTGACAAGTTCTTCAAGATCTTTAAGAAATGCTGGACGAAATTGAGCCAGTCGCTCAGCGAAAATAAAACCAAACAATAATCTAGATAAGCAAATTAGTCCACAAATGTGTAAATTATTTTGAAGCGAGTTAAGGTGGAGTTTAAAACGTGTGTACCAGAGTCTGGATGGAACTACTACTTGACATATGGAAAGGCATATAAGTCATCCATGCTGAAGGCATTTCATTATGCCATTATGCAACTGAGAAGATGCAAAAATTTTTAAGATATTTTAAGCTGAAAACAGCTTTAATATTGTACAAAGGAATGTGTGCTCTGTCAGCCCAAGCACTAACTGGTCTGCGGTGAGCTCCAACTACAGCAGAACGAAGTTGAAATTGTAGCAGGAAACGGAGAAGTGCGCTCAGCCTAACCCTTAGCTGCATCCTGACTAATCCAATGGAAAATGTTCCTTCAACCAAGCCATTCGTAATGTGGGAATGTACGAGCGAGTATATTTGGTTTCCTGTACGTAAAACAATTGGGGGTTAGTAATCGTACATGCTTTTACCTACGAACGAACTACTTACGATATTTATAATTAATGCTATCTATTATTGCTGTTACTGTTACTGGGCTGGTTTTCCTTGTCGCGAGTCTTTCTCTCCAGGCGCTGATTCATTTGTAGCTCGATCTTGGCCAGCGACAGTTCGTACTCGTGCTTGATGCGATCGTACTCCCGCTTCATGTGGGCCTCCTTATCTTCCGCATACAGCTTGTAGTTGTGGGCCGTGCGTTTGGCACTCTGATAGCGCTGTTGTGTGGTTCGCAGAGCCTCCTCGTGCGTTTCGCGCAGCATCTGCAGCTGTTCACGCCAATGCTGCTCCACCTGCTCCACAGACTGCTTCTGTGCGTCCCACTGGGCCATTACTGCCTTCATTGACTTGCGCTCGGAGTCTATGCTGGCATGCTGCTCGTCTAGAGCCCGCATGAGCTCTGCTATGCGCTGATTCTTTGCCTGAATTTCGCTGCGACATTTTTGCAGCATGACTTTCTGCTTCTCTTCCTTCGCCTCCAGTATTTCTTCGATCTTCTCGCGTTCCGCCAGTATGGTCTGCTTTAGCAGGTCGACTTCGTTCTGCCGCTGCTGGAGCTCGCCGCAGACCAGTTGATGCTCGCGCTGCAGGCTACGATTTTTCTCCTCCGACTGATGCAGGCGAGCAGTGAAATTCTTCAGCTCCACCGCAAACAGCTTGGCCATTTCGTCACGAACGCGCTGCTCGATGCGCTTGATACGCACTGGGCTGAGCTCAATCGAGGCACCTCCTGGGGGACTTGGCGTCTTCTTTGCAGTCGCCTCTTCCTGCTGCCTGATGTATTCCTCCATTTGCTTGGCCTTTTCCTTGAGCTCGTTGAGGAGACTCTCCTGCTGGCTGGACCGTTCAATTTTCTCCTCTAGCTCAGCCTGAAAAGCCTTAGACTGCTCCAGCTCCTCCGCGAGCTGCCTCAAATCTTTGGCCTGCCTTTCGTTGATACTCTGAAGCTTAAGCATTTGAATCTCAGCCTGAAAGAGAACGCATTCATGACGTAAACGTTTAAGTATCTCTGATGTACTCAAACAAGCACTCACCTTGGTGATTTCGGACCACTTTTCCACACATTTGCTGCAATTGGCGGAGTTCTCCTTGGCCGCGGCGGCGGCCACCTCTTCGCACTTGTCGTGCTCGAATTTTTCGCGCATGGCCTGCAGCTCTCGCTGGTGACTGTGCTTCTCCGTCTCCAGAATGCGGGCCAACTCCTCTGACTTGAGCTCCGCTATTTGCACGGTGCGCTGGAGATTGGCCAACTGCTGGCGCTGCTCGTGAAGCTCCTTGACTGTGTCCAGTTCGCGCAGCTTGCGAAGCTCGTAGCTGAGCGTCTCCTTGTCATTGGCAATGTCTGCGTAGAGTTTCTTCAGTCGCTCCACCTCGCTTTGGGCATCCTTCAGCAAGATCTTGTGTCGTTCCAGATCCAGACGCATGTTGTCCGCTGTGTCCCGAGATCGCAGCTGGCGGTTATCCTGCAGCAGCTGCTCATAGTTCTGTTTGAGCTTCTCGTGATCTTGGTTCACCCTGTCCAGATCAATCTGAACCTTTTTCAGCTGGTTGTCCATCTTCTGGCGATGCTCTGTCACCGCATCCCGCTCAGCCATCAAAGCATTTACCTCCTCCTGCAATTTTGAATCATTTTTCGACCTGCGATCCAGCTCCTCCAGCTCCTGTTGCATGTTCTTAACGCGGCTCTCCAGTCGTATCTTGTCATCTTTAAGTGTGGCAAGCTGCACCAGGGACTGGTTCTCCTGCCCGCGCAGCAGCCGCAGCTCCTGATTACGCTCTTCCAGCTGCTTTTCCAGCTTGCGCACCTGCTCCCTCATGTTCTTGAGATTGGCCAGAGCTCGGTAGAGCTCCTGCTTGATGTGGCCAATGCGATCAACGGGATTGAGCGGCGTGCTGCCCACCAGTCGGGTCGAAGCAGCCCGCGGACCTGTAGACGGCTCGTCCGCTTGGTTCTGCTGCAGCAGCGTGTCCATCAGATCCAGCTCTGCTGTGGCCCCACTGAGGTGCCCGTTCAGCAGGGCTATGGTCTGCTCCATGGCATCGATTTTGGCCTCCAACTCCCTAATGTAGTGCTGCTGGCGCGAGTACTCTGGCTCGTAATTGGGCTTGCCATCCAGCTGCTGGCAGCGACTCTGGGCCACGTCCAGGGCCGCGTTTAGCTCATTTATCGTGGCTGCCTTTTCCCTTAGCGTGGCCTCCAGGTTGGACTGCAGGGCGTTGTAGCGAGCGGTCATCTTCTCCAGTTCGTTCTGTTTTTTGTTCAGCTGATCGGTGCCTTGGCTCAGCTGCTCCTGTAGAAGATCGCATTGGGCTCGATGATGCTCCTCCAACTGCCTGATGCGGGAGTCGGCGATGCGATCATCCCGCTTGTGGGAATCACGCTCCACCATGTCGTACTTGGACTTCAGGTCGGAAACGATCGCTCGTGTCAGCTCCAGCTGCCCCTCCAGCCGAGTGTTGTCCTCTTCCAGACGTTTCTTCTCCTCCCGCAGCTTTTCCATGCTGCTCTCCTGATTTGAGCACTTCGCCTTCGTGTCCACCAGCAGCTCATGTGTATTCTGCTTCTCGCGAAGTGCCCGGTCCAGCTCCGCCTGCAAAATGCGCACGCGCTTTTGCTCGTCATCAAGCTTCTTCAGGGCATCCGTGGCCTGCTGTCCGATATGTTCGCATTCGTGCGACTTGGATTCCAGCATCATTTTAAGCTTGTGAATTTCGCTGGCATGCCGATGGTGATGGTCCTCTTCTGCTGTTGGCTGTACGTAGCCTTGAGCGGGATGATGCTGCTGCTGCTGCTGCTGCTGCTGATGGTGGTGGTGGTGGTGCGGCTGTTCGGGCAACAAATCTGACTGGAAATGTGTAGTCGAGTCGATTGTACTTTCGTCGTCATCCAGATCATCGAAGGCATTCTCCAGCAAGTTGCCTAGCTAAAGCACAGAGTAATCAGATATTTGTGTTTGTGCACATATTTTGTTAGTAATTGCTCACCTCCTCGTCGCGTCGTTTCTGATCCTCTAGAGCCTCTTCTTCTTCTTGGCGCTCCAGTGTCGAGCTCACGTTCAAGGGCTCGGCCCCCTGAAAAAGGCTCATGCCCGGCGTATTCATATTGATTTTATTTGACAAAAACGACTGGCCGGGATGCTACAATTTTGTTTAAATTTTTGAAGTCGCTGGGCCTTCAGTGTGACCGCGGAATTATCGATACAACATACCGACATACGGAAATATACCCTTGCATTTTCAAAATATACTGTAAATATACCGTGAATCCGAAAATATTTTCCTTGAATTCTATGTTCTATTCAATATTACTAGCTAATTAGGAGCCTCCGTGCTAAACTATAAATTTTTCCGATTTATCAATCAATTATCTAAGAGATTGGATCGTTTTCACGACTTCCTTTTGTTGGAATGTTTACAAACTAAGTTTAAAACAAAAAAGGTCAACCAACAAAAATAGCATAAAACGTTACGTGAGTGGGAATGGATTGCTACGTAATTGACAAAATGTACCAAGAAAAAAACGAACCTAGCTCAATTAACCCTCCTCTATCTTGAATATCCTTTGCGATACAAAAAATTAATCTATGTGTACTTAAAATGTATACCATTGCCAGTGCAATTTAGGTTATACCATTTTTTGCATGACAAAATTTACTTACTTGAAACGTAACATAAACCATAAACGTTTACCCTGCTTATATTTTAAAATATATTTGTAACTATTTAGGTCACACACCTTGCACCTTTTCTCGATTGTTGTTGATGACGATGATTTGCACCTTATTGTGGAAACTCACCTTGTAACAACAGAGTCAATTCCGAACTCGTAATCGAATACCAATTCTAGTCGTTTGATCAATACAAAAGTAACATGCTCGGCGACAAATTCAAACAGAAAAATATTGCAATTTGTTGATTCTCCCCTTTTTTCCAGACATTAACAAATTTTCAGGACAGAATTGTTTCTTTTTTCAATTTTTTTCAGTTTTATTAATTTTATACAGACTGTCCATTCATAAACGCACTTATATTGGGACATTTATCTAATTTCTCGGCATCTATTTGGAAAACCTTGGACAAACGTTTCCAACTTTGCGCATCAAAGTAGTAGAAGGTGCCGCGCTCTTTTGTACCATTTTTTTCATATTGATTAATGCCAGGAATTCGAGTTATCCAGATTTTCTCCTCCACATGATACCGCCACTCGCGACTATGCCTGTAAATAGAACACCAAACCAGCGATTACAAATCTTGCCAATTAATTGACAACGTAATTTAGTGCTTACAATTCTGCAGCTGCCATTAATTGCATGATATCGCCGATATTTGTGTAGAACAGGAAGAAGAGCAGATCCTCTTGCAGCTTTTTCAGTACCGGCGCCGTAAGCTTATCTCTTATCGCAAAATTGATCAGATATTCGGGGGGCACGTTGAACTCAACGTCTTGTGCTCTGAATAAAAAATAATAATTAAATTAGTTATATCTATAAAGGCAGTTGTTGTGCCCCTGTATGTATTACA